ACAGTAATACATGTGTGAATGCAATTAATTTTTATTAGGGTAAATGTGTGAACTGATTTTACAAGAATGTTAAAAAGATACAAATAAAAATACATACATGTAAAAGAAAAGATAAATTTCTCTGTATCAGCAGTGAAGGTTCACCAAAAAAATTAATGAAATTTACTTTCTCTCAAATTTGGATATTGAGACTGACGACATAAATTTGTAGGTTAAAACACGCATTTCCACCAAAATATACTTAAATTTAACTTAAATCAATATTGACAATAAATAAAATTGGGGAAAATATACATATAGAACCTTGTGAATCACTCTGAATCACCACCCATTTAATGAGGGGCTCCTCAATTAGCCATTGTGACAATAAGTAGTCACTTTGCCAATCACATACCTGTATAAACTGAATTGTTAGAGCACTTTTCCCTACCCCACCACCTCCAACAACGACAAGCTTGTAGCTTTGACTGTAATTATTCGAATCCCTAGACATATTTACTTTGTATGTTTACATGTCAAAATGCAAAATGGCGGAAGTGATTCATTCGGAAGATCTCTCATTTTTTATTGTTTACAAAAACATTCCGAAAAAAGTAGCAATTTTGTTTTCGAATTTTTTCTTGTTAAAAAATGAATTTTTTGCTGCATTCATTACCCTCCTTTGACTTTTGAAGAACAAATTAAGAATTGGAAAAACCATAACAGACTTTACCATAAAATGCGAAACTACCTAGATTTAGATACACTTAAAAATCATAGACTGGTATTGCCTGTCTTTACCGTACGCAGGAAAAGACAGGTGATCACCGCCATTAAAGCCAGGGATTCCTGGCTTGAGTGACACGCCATCTATCGCCGCTGTTCTACGATACAGCATGGGAAATAATCACACAATAAAGCGATCTGTTGACTCAGTGGGGAACTTTAAACCGATTTATGTTTCCTGCGGTAATTAAATATGTCAATTCTAATAAACAAAACTAGTTTGCAGAGTTGTTGCAGTTCTATTTTATCCAATTAATGTATGCCATGTAATGTGATAGGGGCTTGCTGATCTGTTATATCACGGCTGAAAATTTAGAATAAATTCAGCGAAGTGAAATGTCTTGTACATAGACCTAGTATGAAATGTTTAACACTCCTGTGAAACAAAAATCTGACAAAAGGAATACACGTATTTCTATTGTATGTGGAAATATTAGTGACCGTGTTAGATTAATTGAATCAAAAGCAAATACAGATACATGTATTGAAAAGAACTGTTAAAAAAGTGAAAGCGGAATACTTTGTAGAAATTGTTTTCAAAAATAAATTAACTTGGACAAAAAATGCGAGAGTTCTATGATTTGTGTCAGAAAAACTATGTGGCTGTGTATACTAGAGGCAAGAGGGAAAGAGGCAGCACCTCGTAAATCGAATTTTTTCCGTAGCCCGTCGGTAAAACAACCAAGGTATCGTTATTCAAAGCACTTTTAATACTTCTTCCTTGCAAAAGCTTAAGAAAAATTAATGTTGAATATCTTTTGAGCCTGATGTACACAAACTTTGACAATTTTAGGGGGGGGCGCCGGGTGCGCCCCCCCTCTTAAATCCGCCACTGATTTCTGCCAATGCAATTTTCGTACGTAAAGAAAACTCCAGGTAACGATAATTATCCATAATATAGCACTCTATGATCTCTTTTGGTTTCCCCGAGGTATTTAAATTCTACGTCAGCGAGAGTTTTTATCAGCCAATGAGCGCGGCCGGTAGAGGGCTCTTTACATTACTGATCACCTGTCTGTATATCAGATATCAGACAGGCAGGCCAGTCTATTAAAAATCATTCATGGTTGTTTTCGTTCACAAGTTTAATCTGAAATGAATAAATCTTTTATTTCCAATCTGTTCTCTTCTGTTTATTTCCTTTATACGTTCTGAGACAAAAATACAAAGCCATAGAGATTTAACATACTTTTCCGGTTTTGTCCGAAAGTTAATTGTGTGGTCTAGCCGGAAGTCAATTTTCATTGGCTGATAATTTGGAGGTAAAATTTCATATATTTCAAAAGTGGGACTCATCGGGAGGGAACAGTGAGTAGTTGAATGGTCTTTTTTATCGTCATATTTATATCATAAGCGATTCTTTCATGCCAATTGAAACAATTAACCATATATTTTTCGTAATAATTAGATCCTGTACCTCTAAGAGTCCCAAGCATAAACTATGCTGCTACATCACATGTCATTGATGAATTCATTTTGATTCATGAATGTCAGTTGATGTTTATAGTCAACGAAATGTCTTTTGTGCAGATTATTAATGAAGATGATGAAAAAATGAATCAGGCGGTATCAGTAAATAAAACATTTCAATTTTGTACATGTTGTATATATATAGATCATCAGGTCCAGTCCAAAGACTATTTCTACTTACGTAGCTATTAAAAGCTATGTAGGTATTTAAACCTACCCAAAGTAGCTATTTTTACATACTTTCTGCTTTACTTGCATTTGTGGCCAAACACAGAAATGGCGCAACATGGTGAGCACTGACTTTCTTGATACAGTCACACTGATGATGAATATGAGATTATGACAAAATTTTGGCCAAAAAATGATATCTTTGTATATTATCAGTTTTGCATAGATACTAATGTAAAATTGCCGATTCAGGAAGTAATCATTTTTTGGTTAAAATTTTGTCATATTCATCATGTTCATCATGAGTGTGACTGTATCAAAAAAATATGGTATTTACCATGTTGCGTCGTTTAGTCTTTTGGCCACAAAATGTAGATAATACAAAAAGTAGGGGTAAAAATAGCTACTTTGGGTAGGTTTAAATACCTATGTAGCTATTTATAGCTAAGTAGGTAGAAATAGTATTTGGACTGGACCTGATCATTATCATGATTACAGAGTTTTTGAAATAAAAAAAAATTTTACTGGTCAAGTGGACCAGTGATTTAGTGAAATTCACCAGTCCACACAAATATTCACTGGTCCATCAACAAACACATATTCAAAACAAAAAAAAAAATCTTAATTCCAGTTAGGCTTTAAAAAAATCCGAAGGTCAAATATCCCCGGACTGAATTAACTAGGTGTGATATTTACAGTAGAAACCCAACATGGCTGCCTACCGCAGAAAAAGAAGTTCAAAATGTTGGGGAAATGTTTAATGTAACAAAAATGATTATTTTAAAACTCTTTATATTCAAGGTAAATGATGATTAGCAATTCAGTTGACATTATGTTGCACCCCAAATAAAGCTACAATAAACATTTCTGTACAAATTGAATCAGCTGATTGATCGAACAAACACAGATATGGCCAAAAAAAGATCACGACTAACTGTCGTAAAAGCCCTTGAGTTTATTCTTTCATACACACAGATTCAATCCTTTAGACAATCTTACAAATAAACTTAAAATTCAGAGGTTAAGAGGTTAAAATTCCGGAAAGATCCAATTTTTTTTACCGGTCCCTCGGACCGATTACATGAAGAAAATAACCGGACTTTTGAAATATTTACCAGTTTTGCCGGTGGGACCGGTGAATTTCAAAAACTTTTTACAACAGTCAGGAGTGAGATTGAAATCCGTCATTTTTAAAATGATGATTTCGAGTAATAAAATAAATTTTTATTATAACTTAAACTCATCATCTTAAGAAAATGACGAAAAATGGTCATAATTAAGAGTGTTTCTAGAATACGGAGTCATATCTCTTTGAAATGTTAGATCCACCAACCAAAAAAAGGACAAAAAACATTGTAAGCAAACTTCATTTCTCTAGTACAGTTGACTACAATACTGGTTATGTTGACAGTAGAAATTTCCAATGCAAAAATAAGAGTGGAAGAGTTATTTGTCAATTTATTTCCATTAAATAGCAAAAAAGACGAAAATGACGATATTCCGTCTTTTTAAAATGAGGGTATGGGCGTACTAAAATATTTTGCTTGTTTTACGGGGCGCAATACTTTTTTTATGGCTTTACCTTTTTTCGAGACTTTTCTAGGTCCACAAGTAAGTATTCTCCCAGACGTTGTACTATACTATAGGGCTAAAAACCATGTAAAAATGCAAGTTTACGCGATTAACTGGGGTATGACAGAAGAAATGGCAAGTAAACATTGTGAATCGAGAGAAAATCCACACATGCCCAAAGGGCATGTGATTTGACATGTTGAGAATTTTCATGTGCCCGCTGGCAAATTTACCAGGTCCCGGGCATTGGGCTCCCAGGTTATTTCGAAGACTGCAGTTTTGATGACATTAATTGAGTTTATGAATGTGCTGAAAATGAAAAGAATAACTTGTAGCAAACTGATAATTTTTTATGATTATTTCAGATGCCCAAACTTAAGAAAAATAAGAAGAATGCCACTAAAGTCCCCATGGAAATGGTGGATGACAATATTAAAAATGTCATTGGGAAATTGTTTGTCACCTCCTTCACAAGAATTCACCAAATCATCAAGGAAGATGTGGTTAAAATGTTTGAGGACGAATACAAATGGGCAGATGAACTGCTGGAAGAAGTCAAACGAGAGTTTTCAAGGTATTTCGTGTGTTAATGTGTAAAATTTATTATGTAGGGTTATAGGCATAAATAATTTGGTGTCAAGTCAGTCCAAAGCTAGACATATATACAGAGAGCATATAGTTAGGAGTTACTCTTGCCTCTTTAATGATTTTGAAGAGCTCTTACATATTCCAAAGCTTTATCTAAATAAATGAATCAGAGAGGAAAAAGTAACTTCAAGGGGTCTCCAATGATTTTAAAAAGTTAAGATTAAAATACATTTAAAAAAAGCTTTTTACTTGCTTCAATATATCTATGGAATAAGAGGTCAAGATTTTCGAGTTAAACAATTTTAACTTTATTTTGTTTTGTTCTTAGCCCTGTCAGCAAGATCAAGCTATTGCCAAAGACCCCCTCTGCTAAGCGAAAGAGGGGACGCATAAGGAAGGAAACGGTCATCGAAGAAGAAAAAGAAACAGAGAATCCCACAGAAAGGTTGAAGATTCAAAACATATATATATAAATCCTGTAGTCAATTTTAAAAAAAGGACATTACAAACAGTCAAAATTATCGTAATGATTGTGAGTCTTGGAACAACTGTCTTATGATGTCTGGCAAGAGAAACCGAATGTTCCTTGGTTGACCTGTATGGAGTATTTGTTCTCCCCCAAAAGCATTCAAAATGTTCTAGAAGGGGTAGATACATTATTGTAATCAGATTTGGATCATTTTTGCAAATATTTGTACAACCATATCTTAATATTGCATGGGGTTTTTCAGGGATTTTCCACTACATATTGTAGGGCCGAATATGGGCCCCATTCCCAATTGCAAAACCCCTCCTTTTTCCCAAAAATGAACTGCATATGTTCAATTTTTGAATGCAGAAGAACTTGAGAAGTTAACTTGATCATAATTCATGAAATACAAACATTGTCAGGTTTGGAAATTGTGTAAAACTTTATCATAATGATCAATTCTTTGATTCATAGTTCTATAATACCTATGTAAAACATCAATTTTATTCATCTTAGTGTTTATTTCTAAAAAAACATCATATAATAAAATTTCCCAATTAGTAATAAAATGTCGTTAAATTCCCAATTCCAAGGGCCTGAGCCCCATTCCCAAAAGTGAGTGGAAAATCCCTGGTTTTTGTAGTTTGATAGGATATTTATGGAGAACTGGATAACAATATTGTCTATTTTGTTTTCAGTGTGCCTACTCCTTGTGATACGGATGCTAACATTCTTGCTTACGAGACGCCCCCTCAGCGGACCTACCGTACCAGAGCGGCCTCAAGGACAGCTCAAACCAAGAGAGTTACCCGCAACACGGCAGCAAAGAAGGCCGCCAAAAATTCAGAGAGTGAAGACCTGGCCAATGAAGTACAACCCACGGAAGATAAGAGAACACCAGTCCTTAACTTCAACAGTTCAACTAAATGTGATAATTTAACACCTAATATACTTTTGAAAGGGGGGACTTCTAAACCCCAGACTTCTGAGTCACATGTTTTTAGCCCTCCGGTTGGGAAACCAGGTAAAGGTCATGTGAAGAACAAAGTTCATGCATATGAAGAATACATAGAGCAAAACAGCCCCTCGTCAAGTCGTGGACAGGCCGTGAACCAGAGTCCCGTACCAGAAACACCGGAACAAACGGAATCTGTGTCTAGACCGGATGAAAGTTGCCGTGAGACACCAGAGGCAATGACTTTGGGTAAAAGATTGAGTGTACATAAATCCCTGAGATCAACATCCGCCAGTAGAAAAAGTTTACTGAAGAGTAGTAAAATACACATGAACCCCAAACTTCTACATGCAGCTGAAAATAAAGAGGTAAATATGGGTGTGAGAATAGAAAATATATTTAATGATGTTTTAACTTGTGTTTTGATTTCCAATATTGCTTAGAAAGATTGATGGAAATTTTTATAAGGAATTAAATTTTGTTTATTAGAACAATCATAGATTAATCAATGCTTGCCTTTTGGGTTATTTATTGCTAGGACATAAAGTCTTAACATATTTAAAGAAATAGGCTTGTTATTAAGTTAGACATTCTTTTATTATTTTTTCAGACTCCAGGAAAGAAGAATAAACTTAAGCTAAAGAAGAAAGTCCAAAAAGATCAACAGGTAAAAAGAGTCATCATATCATCAAACCTTAGCAGTGTTTTCCCTAAGAACCGGCTATCGGTCAAATTGACAGTTTCAATTTAACAAAAATGCTGCTTTGAAATAAAAAAAAAAATTGTTTTAAGGTCCACAGAGTATTTGTTCATAAAAATCAGCCCTAGCTTGTTACAACTGATCTCTAACCTCTTACTTTAAAATAAATGGAAAACACTGCAACCTTCGCAAGAAATACATCAGGTTCTTGGAATAATGTACACAATCAAAGTAAATCAATGTACTTGTATTAATACTATTATCTCTGTTTTTTGTAGGACGAGGAAGAAGGAGAAAGCCAAAGTGAGCCAAATATTGTAGATTCTTCAACACATGATAATTCTGATGAAAGAAAACTAGATTCAGAAAAGGAAAATTCAGCAGTGAATTGTGCTGAGTCAGTGCAGACTGCTATGAACATTGACGATGAACCAGAACATCAAGCAGAGAGTGAACATGAAGAAGAAAAGAGAGAAAGTACACAGGTTCAAGTAGATGAACCAGTGGAATCAAAGGAGGTTATTCAAGAGCCGGTAGAAAAGGATAATGAAAAGTCGTCAGGTGAGGAACAGGATGTCTCAATGCACAGCGCTGCAGAGGAGCCTTTATCTACTTCACATCAGGAGTCTGGGAAAGACACAGAGGAAAAGGGCGGTCAAGTGGAGGATGTTTGTATGGAAGAGAGTGAAAATGTCCCAACTGTAGACACTAAAGAGAGTGAAAGTACTAGAGACCAAGAACAGGTTGTGGAAAAGGGAGAGAGTGAGAGGAAGGATTTGTCCTCGGATGTTATTGTAGGAGAATCTGATGATGATGAGGTGATGTTGTTATCTGAGGACGAGGAATGTAAAACGTCCACGGAGTCGAAACAAAAGACGGATTCCGTCACCCAAGCTGATGACGAAAGTGAAGAAACCGAAGAGGAAAAACAGCCACCCCGAGCCAGCAAGCGCACCAAGCAGAGAAACCAGCCTAAAACTCAGGTCAAGTCCGAGTCCGATAGCGAAACCGATGCTCTTCCTCCAAAAAGGACCAGGACGAAAACCAGGAAAGTTTTGGAGAATGAGAGTATGGAGGTGGCCAAGCCAGTCAGACAGAGTACCAGGACTAAGCAGAGGAAGCAGGAGGGGGCCTCTGTGTCGTCTGCTGCGGGGTCAGATACCACCAGCGAGGTGGACTCTGGTCACGGCAGTCTGACCAACGGCTCTAGGACCACCAGGTCCAAGATGAGGAAGGCTAAAGGAAGCTCGGTCACTTCTGATGCAGATGCTCATTTTGCTGTCCCAGAAAATCCTGCTCCCAGGGCAAGGTAAGATTTTGGGATAATAACATTCCTGATCAAGTGTGTTTTGATAAAGAGTTTTTTTTTTTTTTTCCTACGTGCAACCTTAAAACTTCATATTTACAGAGATTAAAGAGGTTGAAAGTGGGTGAGATAAAGCTAAGAGATGATAATTATCAACACATGTAATACATGCAATCTGATTTATTACAGAACGACCTCAAGAAAGAGAACTCTGGACACGGATGGTGAAGATGAAATAAACTCATCTCTGTCAAAGAAAACCAAGAGAGAAAGTGGTGACTCCTCTGAGGTACATTATTTCCATTTCAATGCAAAATGTCTCAAGTGCCATCTCAGCACACTTTGCTATTGAGAAATAAGAGTTTTTAAAATAGTAAAGAGGGATCCTAGTCATTACTCTATATGATTCTCATTGAAATGTTTTTATTTTTGTTTTGTCAGGTGACTTCCGATGCCAAGAGCAGCAGTTACAGGAAAGGTACTAGATAATCAATTTAGTATTGAAATACAATAAAGTATCTCTTGAACATACATGTAGGCTGTACAGGCTATATTTGTAACACGTATCAAGCAATGCAACTAGTAGTTTTCAAAGTCTAAAAGTACATGTACCAAGAAAGAAAAAAATGAGTTTTCATTTCTTTATTTATGTGCTTTACTGTTTACATTTTGAAAAATGTATCTCTTTTTTTCAAATTTGAATAATTCGAATTTCTATAATTTAAGGTACAGACACACTAACAGATGATGAAAGGTATGAAGCACTTTAAAATCATCATTGTTTGTGAGGAACTAAAATACCACTGAATCAAAACTTGTTAATGTGCAATGTATAAAGAGTTCTTCATTGATTTGTATATATAGACAGATAACATTCTTAAAAATGAGGCCATCCTTAAAAAAATGTTTGTTTGGAATTGCCGCCTGGGGGTTTTCAGACCCAGGAGGGAGGGAGGGATTTTATTTTTTTTTTTTTACAAATTGAAGCTAAATGATATAAAATAAAATTTCAATGAACAGTGGTAATTTCCATTTATTATCCTCTTTCTTTTATTTTATTAATATTATTTGGTCCGATTTTGAAGAAAAAAGACATACACAGAACGGTACTCAAATATTAATCTCGTTTAGATGTTAATTAGATTATGTTCATTTATTAATAGTTATATTTCAGCATCAAACTTCTAGTTTATTTAAAGAATCTTATTTAAACAATACTTTTATCAGACTATTTCGTAGTATTTCTCTTTAAAATTTACCCCTTTGTTAAAACAACGCTTGCAAACAGTTTGAACCACACAAAATTTCTTAGGAATAGTTGGGATGTTTTGTGTAAAACCGTGAGGGGGTGCTTCGTACATTCTCGAGTTTTCACCATGCATCAGTTTTAACATTACGTTTCAAAGACTTGTCATACTGACAGATAACATTTTTCCTTTAGTATTTGGGATAAAACGTTTTTGATCCATGTAATTATTTAAGTGGGAACTGAACGACCTTTTTTTTCAACATGACGGACTAACTTATCAAGTTCAATGTGCAGTCTATTACAATAGCTCTTTCAAGATATCGATGTATCATTCCATTTAATTTTCTATTCATCTTTTTTTTTTATAGAGATGCATAAAAGTTCTGCTCTTCAACACAATGCTTGAATGTTTCCAACATCTTGAACATGGTCTGATATTTTGGTGGCTTTTATTTTGTCAAATCGCCACCTATAATTGCTATATCATAAATACTATGAAGAAAGCGTTTTATTGACCCGAGTTCTTAAATTAATGTGAGCTCAAACCCGATTTTAAAAGCTATTTCGACGAACGAACTAACTTGTACTAAACAATGTAAGACGATAAAATGATAAAAAAAATATTGTCAATATTTTGTCAATAAAATTTTTTGAGCGGGGGGTATTTTAATGAGGCGGGCGGCAATTCCAAACAAACTATAATTTTATTTTGGCCTGAGTAGAATTTTGGTTATTATGAACATTGACCTCCCTGAGTGTAGTACATTAACCATGATATACATGTATGTTGTACATTGTAGAAGCAGTCAGAGTGAAGAAGAAACACCTGATTCAGCGCGAGCACAGGCAAAGGTATCTAAATACATGTATACACTAATAGGTCGTTCATATATTAAGGGTCACATCTAAAAATCAGTTTGCAAATGAAGGAACTAATCGTGCTTTTTTCAAGTGTGAAGGGGGTGGGGGGCTACTTTGTTTTCTTAAAGGCAAAGGGATTGTAATCTCAGTTACTTTTTATATTGTTGGTTTGTGAAATGATTTTCTTGTGTTTATTCAGATTGTGAAACCCGTGTCTTTCCTGAACAACTTGAACAATAAAGTGGTGCGACCAGCTGGACTCAATTTCAGTGGAGTGAAGTCCTTCCTGCATCAGAACACCCCACCTAACAAACTCTCTGTCAAGGTCAGTTCTTGTATATTTTATACAGCAAAAAAAATTTTGACATAACAGTCTGAGAACAACATTAAATTTGAATCCTCACAATAATTTCTGCATTGACATTGATAAAATGAAAATAGTTTTAATTTCAAGAAATTGAGAGTTCAGGGCTCGACATTAACGCTTGTCCGGTACCAATGAAAAAAATATGGACAAGTGATTATTGCTGGGCACTTGTCCGATTGGACAAGTGCATTTTTATGTAAAGGAGTCTCTAAATAATAAAAAGAACGACTGTTGAAAGCTAATAAGAATTTTCAAGACGGAAGCTGTACATAAAAACCAGACTTCGATCCCGATAATTATTGCTATATTAATTGAGTTCACATTCGATCGGGATCGAACTTCACTAATTGCAAACTACCGAAAGTCATGGAAGTTAGGAACCAAAGTGTGGATTCTGTTTGATGTTGACAGGTTCTCTTGTGGACATTTATGTTATTGTCAGGACAGAAAGCACAGATTAAATTTCGTGTTATGTGTTTTTGTACTTAACAATAACATCACATCAATCAAGCACATGATGTGTAATGGAATTTATTTTTAGTTTTCAAGTATTAAATCTTGATAAGATGATTGAAAAATTTTCGGACAAGTGAAGTTGAAGTTCGGACAAGTAAATGTCTTGGTCACTTGTCCGAATGGACAAGTAGGGAAAAAAAGTTATTGTCAAGCCCTGGAGTTGTAGGTATTATTCCAGATGGGTGTTTCTGTGAAATGTATATTAAATACAAATAGACCATTAAAGCATGGTTTAAGAAAAATATTTTAGTTAAACAAAATCAGAATTAAAAAAATTCAATTAAACCGTTTTTTTATTTTCTGTTTTGACAGGAACAGCAAGAACAAAGAAAGAGAGAGCTAGAGGAGAAGAAAAAGAAAGAAGCCGAGAGGTTACAAAAGAGAGAACTGGAAAAGAAGAAAAAGATAGAGGAGCTCCGAAAGTAAGTTTTGTTTCCTGCAGAAAAGTATAGGCAAGACTGTTAATAATTTTATGTTTCTAAAATATTTATGCTTCTTCATGCTATACAAATCTTATTTTCTAAAACCTACTAGGTGCAAGATTTTACATGAGATAATTTTTCTTTGAAATTTAAAAAATATATATTACAAAGTTAAAATTTAATTGTTGAAATAAACTGCACAGTCTAGAAACAGACAACATTTTGCATCAACACCCCTTTATATATTTGTGCGAAGAAAATGCTTTTCATAGAAAAATGTTCTTGCACCCTAAAAATGTAAATCAAAGGCAAAGAAAATCTTTGCTTTTTTAAACTAATATTGTGAAACTGATTTTGTAGAAAAAGGGAGGAAAGGATGAGAAGAGTTAACGAGAGGAGAGAGCAGGCCAATCGTGAGGAGATGGAGTCTAAAAATAGAATAATGAAGACCCTGGAGGAGAAGAGTAGGCAGGCCGACGATCTGAAAGAGGAGAAGATGAAGGAGGAGCAGGAGAGACAGAAACTCAGGTAGGTCCTCACAGAGATGGGGAGAAAAATCTAAAGTAGCCCCCCCTCCCCCCCCCCATAACATGGGAGAAATGTGTGGTTTGTCTTCCCAAACGTGACTGAGATATGTGTAAATACGGGACCCATGGAGGTACTAGTTCATGTATATCTTCTTCATGAGAGAATCGCTGATACATGTAGTTTGGGTATAGAATAGGAGAATATGATCTCTCTTAGAGGGGAGTCATTTTTCCTTTGGTTGTTGTAAATAATGTTGGTTCATATCAATAGCAATGAGACTAGCTTGCTAAATTTTACTTCACTGGATTTCAAGTGATTGATGATGTTTGAATATCAACCAGTTTTGATGTTAAAGAGTTATTCGTGATTGGAAAACAAAGACAACCCCATTCAACCTTTTGTTTGCTTTATGAATGCATTTAAATATCTTTAGTTGTATCAACTATGATCAAAGATTAAATGGACTATTAACTTTCAGGTTGAAAAAGCAGGAAGAGGCGGAAGAGAGACGGAGACAGGAAGAGGAGGAGAGAGCCAGAAAACTCAAAGAACAGGTGGGTGGAAGAATTTTAAATGTTTATTTATGCACGTCAGTATGTTGTCTTTCATTCAGTGTTGATAAACCTGGATACAGAGAGGACTGAAGAATGAAAATGACAATATGATACATGTATACCATGTTTTTCTTTTTATGCCTATCATAAGACAGGATGCATTATGGTATGGCATTACATTTAAACAATAGAATATTCAACCCACCTAAAAGGAATTTTCTTTTTGAACACAACTGAAAATGATGGACAGAAATCATTAAAATGACATTTATATTTAATGTTTGAAATTTCCTTTTAAAACTTTTTAAAGCCAGATAGTAATATCCAAATATGTAAGGAGAAAACCCACAGATAATAAAGTAACACCACATTATATCTTTCAGGAGGAGATGGAACAGAGGAATATCGAGTTCATGCAGAGGAAGAAGGAACACGAGGAGCAGGAGAGACTGAGGAGGAAGGCTGAGGAGCGCAGGAAGTTTGAGGAGCGGATGGCGGAGTTTGAGCGGGAGAGGATCGCGGAGCACGAGAGGCTGAAGAAGATTGAGGAAGAGAAGATCAGGGAGAGGCAGAAACTCAGGGAGGAAAGGTACACAGATTAATGATACAGCCAAACTTTGTTATCTTTCATTCAATGGTACTGAGGTCGAAACTGCCAAATACTGTAGACATACTTTTTTTCACACTGTCATAATTCCGCGGAATCTCAATTTCTGTTAAATCCCCGGGTAAAAAATTACGAGGATTTCTTACACTGTCACAAAATGCCTCACATTTATATTAAGCATGCTTGGATAAATTTCCACGGAAAATTTGTAAAAGCGTACATAATGTAACTTAATACCACACGGAAAAAAAGTACTTCTGCAGTAAGAGTTCAAGGTTAAAGTACAACAAGAAAATAGTGGATGGGACTTTCAAATCACTTTGACATCTTCACTGTATTCCAAATATCAGAGTTTATAGAGATACTGAAGTTATATTGTATCAGTAATCTTTAAAATGTTGTCCCCCATGCTTTTTCTTAATGTTTATGTAAGGCTCTAAAAGGGAGTAGGGGTGGGAAAGAGTTTTTGTTATGGAAGGGGGATAGTTAACATTTAAAAATTCTTTGTTTATATTTATAATGTAATTTTTGCTCTGTTTGAAACTTTTGATTATCATTTATTTAAAATTACATGTTGAGATGAATATTTTAGAAAATTATATAACTGTAATTTTAGAGAGAGGCAGCTGGCAAAGGAAAGAGCTGAGAGGGAGCGGATTGATACAGAAAAGAGAAAACAAAAAGAGTTGGAGCTCAAACAGAAAATGGAAAAAATCAAAGAAATGGTAAATATGGAGTTGCTCTAATTTTAAGACTGAAGTTAAATGTATAACTTGTAGTAGGTACAAGTGAATTTTAGTTGAAATGTTTTCATGGAATTTCTGTTATTTCCAATCTCCTGACTCATGGTAAAATTGGGTCTGTAGGTTTAGTGGGAAAAAAAATTTTTTCCAAGAAAATTTCAACATATTTGATGGGATATTATAAAGAGGAATGAAAAGAAAGAAAATGTTGTGTCATGGAATGTAGGATAACAATGTTTCAAGTTGGGCCATTTTTTAATCAGTCGGTTGGGAGAGGGCAATCAAACAACTTTTTAAAGATGGCTTTTCTTGTACATGTTATAAGATAAATGCTTTTTCTATTATAACTCCACCAGACTGATTCTCTATTGTGTTCTTTCCTCTCCTTCATAGGAGAAGAAACGATTAATGGAAGAAGAGAAGCGAAGACAAGAGCTGAAGGAGAGGGAGAAGGCTATCAATGCCATCGTAAACAAACATAACATGGCGGCCCAGAGTGTCCCCGCTACCAGCGTTGTCTCCGGAATGCCCAAACCCAATCTGAACTCCACGCTAACCGTCGAACAGCCCATCAACAGCCAGGAGAAAATTCCAAACCCGGACTCGTAAGAAATTATCTTCTTCCATATTTGAACATAAAAGAACGAGAAAATTACACCATAAGTACAGATTGAAGCTTATTTCGGAGGAATTGCTTTACTTTTAGAAATGCATTATGAAATAAATTTCTTAGGAACAATTTGGTCAAAAATTAAATTGAGGGTGAATAAACTTTGACAAAATTTTTATTTTGCAGCTATGAGATGACGCCAGCCAAGAAATTTCTGCCCCAGAAGGTGTCCTTGGAGAGCTATGACATTTCTGATCTCCGATCCGACGATTCCACCGACGAGGATGATGCTCCCAGGAAAAGGGTGCCTAACTGGGCCCTAGGTAATTCTAATTTGATATCTTCAAAGCTCATGTGTAAAAAGAAGATTTTCTTTTATGAACCCTATGTAACTTAATTGCCACTCCTATTGTACTCAAGGCATCTGTTTTACTCAAGCATTCTTTTAAAAATAAATGAATATGAGACTTTTTATACGCCCGTCTTAAGACGGGACGTATTATGTTATAGGCTTCGTGTCCGTCCGTCTGTCCGTCTGTTAGCTTTTCTCGTGTCCGGCTCATAACTTTAATACTATAAGGCCTAGAGTTACCAAACTTTGTCAGCTGATACATCTTGGGTAGAAGGTGTGTCTCGCACAAAAAGTAGGTCACTCTGACCTTTAATAAAGATGCTATAGCCAAATATGGAAAAATCCTGTCCGGCTCATAACTAGAAAACTATGAGACCTAGAGCTTTCAAACTTGGCAAAAGTATACAGCTAAAGTAGAAGGTGTGTCGCGGCCTATTTCAAGGTCACTGTGACCTTTAATTTAAGTGAATTTTTTTTAAAAACTAAGTCTTTTAAATTTTAAATTTAATAATCCTAAAAAATGTAAAAATATAGTTGTATCCTTATTAAAAAATGTTAAATTAAGTAAAAACTTATTTTTTCATTATATACTTTACAGCAATCTGTAACAAATGTTTATGCTTTGAGAGGAATTCAGTTTGTCCCATGGGCATAATTATCAAGCACTGGTCAAGAAGAATTTTGATAGCAGAAATTTGCATTTCAAATTAGAGAGAAATTAATGAGTTTATTGTCAGGAGCTAAGAGCATCTCTTAATCTGATGCAGCTGTTATCTTAATTTATCTCTTGGGAGTTGGGCAAAAAGAAATGGCCTCATAGTTGCTTGTGTTAATTAAGAGTTAGTCCACTTTTTTATAAATTTCGTTTCAAAAGTATCTGTCTGTAAATTATTTTCCTCTCCCGGGTTTTAAACTGCCCGTGGTAGCTATTGCATATTGCCAGCGACATTGTTTAGGTCTCTGTTATAGCTTACAGTCTAAGCATCATTCTTCAGAAAAGGGTTGCTTATGCATCAGATGTAATGAATAAAACTATTGGAGAAGTTAAGTCCATTTGAGGAAGAAATAAACAATAACCTGAAGAAATTAAAAAAAAATCAACTATTAAAAGGCAAGAATATACAAATATATACAGGCATGTAGTATCAATTGTATCAGCCAGAAAAATTATTTTACACTTAATTGAAAAAATGTTCACCCTACTCCCCAATACTCCCTGTCTGTTTTATGATAGGAATTATAATTTTAGGCATCAAATAAATTTTAGAACAATGTCTACACATTCACCTAACACATATTAAAAAAATGAAGATATATTGAAAGACTTATATAGAATTGATTTTTTAAAATATATTTTGAGCAACGTCACAAAATTTATATAACTGGCCCAAACTGGCAGATGATGAAATAAGCAATTAAATGTTCTACTTTCCTATTTGTTTTAATTAAAAGCATTATGTGTCCAGTGGTAAGGAGCCTATTAGAATAGCATAAAAAAAGAATGTACAAATGTTAATAATTGATTTATCAAATTTTTTTTTTTATTTCCTTCTCCTTCGGGACTTTTTTATTCTCACATTCATAACTAAACCTAAACATAAAAAAAAATGCTGGCCTTATAATGAAGAAAGGGGCCTCTTTCAAAATAGATAATTTCAGGGCAGCTGGGTCAGGGGTACCAGGGGGGTACTTTGACTAAAAATAAATTAATGCTTTGAAATCTGCCCTTTGATAAGCACTGGTGCCTCCTTCAAAATTTGTGAATTTCATGGCTTTTGGATTAAAACACGAACCAAATACAATCGCTGGAAAGTTGTTACATGATACTCAGGTGACCTATAAGGCCCGTAGTCCTCTTGTTTTATTAAACTGTAGCATTTCTATTATTTCATAAAATATGCAATAAACAATTTAAGTTTAAGTAAGCTGCAGATGGATATTTGTTATGCTCTAGCACAACCAGTTTAGAGTTATATGATGTATTTGTTATAATCAATCCCTACACTGCATCTCTTAGATATGTATGATAAGAAATGGAAATTAAATCATTGAAATCTGTGTCAATCTGTTAATCAAGGCTACCTGATTTTCTTGCATCCTAACCAATTTATGATTATTGAACAATATTTGACGGGCGTATCATGCTGTGGCGAGGCACTTTATTTTTTTTTTTTTTGCAGAGGACATGCATTTTGATCTTATTAATCTCTGAACATGAAATAAAATTTACATTAATTATGCGTCCCTTATGGAAAGGAAGGATAAATATGCAATGCTTAATGTCAAAAACTCTTTGAGAGAGAAAGAGATAGAGTACTTAGCATTAGCAATAGAATGTTCAGTTAAAGAGTGCTAGCATCAAACAATTCTGCTTCATTATAAATGTAATTTGTCATGTTCGTTAACTATTCACTATAATTTTTAAAAAGCCACAGGGAATGAAAATTACTTTGCTATAAGTATCAGTTCACTATAAGTGTGTGTGTTTGATAAAAGAATATTTTACTGTAAAGTAACTGCTCTTGATACCTAATTATTTTTTTTTCTAGGGGCTTCACTGAAGGCAGCTTTGATTCAGCAACATTACCATCCCCCTGACCTGAATCTCCTCTTCACAGAAATCGTGCCCCCTGATCTCAACGAGTTGTTTGTCAAGAAGAAGGCTAGGTTTAACAAGAGAACAAGTTCTGCCATCTGGACATCACCTATCCTGAAACCTGGCATGAATCATCATTGATATTGTCATTTTGTTTATTACAATGACATTTCAGTCAAGAACAATGCACCAGTGCTTGCATTCCTGAAATGCAGATCCATGTACGTTGATGAAGTTTGTCATTTTCTGTGACATTTTGTGCCAATGAGCAATTATTTTTTTTTTTTTATTTATCAGTTTTGGAAGACAACAGAATTTAATGCATGAATGTGTGTAAACACGGTACAGCATGTTTTTTTATTTCCCCTTGATATATGTGTAAGTGTACATGGTATTTAGCGGGATTCTGTTGATGTACACAAGTTATGATATTGCAGAAGGGAGTGTGATTTTATTTTTTCTTGAGAGAGTTTGTATGCAGTTGTGGTTTTAATCAAGTTTTCTACTTAATTTGTCTTTTCAGGTCTAAGTATAAAATTCATTTTACATATTGTACATATGACAGTCATTGAGAAGAAAAAACACAAAAATGTGCATATTTAGTCATTTGAAGGTTTAACCACAGACTGTTTTCTTTGTTAGATCATTTACCCCAAAACAATAAGTTGTAAATTAACACTATAATTTTTCTTCCTAGCTTTCATTCATATTCTTTCAATCCTTACCCCCCCCCTTCTCTTTCTCTCTCTCTCTCTCAAAGCTGATCAAAATTGGAGAAACTAACCACTAAATAATAAAATTTCTGGTCTACTTCCATAAAAGGATTCATTTCAAAAGAATTACTTGTAGATATTTCCATATACATGTAAGTGATTTTTTTTTTCTTTTTCATTGTATCTCATTTTTTAATATGTTTTGTTTCATTTGACAAGAAATATTTGACAAAATTTGCAAAAATTAAAAAATGTAATACATGTATTAAACTGACTTGTGTCGTATGAAGGAAGTGCATGCTTACAAATGAAGTAAATATTTAATGATGACATAATATCAATAATTTGTTTGTACCATGAACATTTCTATTAAATAAGAAAATAATTTTTGTGACATTTGTTTTTATCCTGATTGAGGCAAAATTTGGTATACTGGGAGATCAACAATTCATACCCAACTGGATGCATTAACAATACTATTGATTAGTTGCAGTAAATGTTTTCAAGTACCAGTAAAAAATTGACCAAAATTACACATGCTCATGTGTTTATTATATTTTTACTACTTGTTTATAGTGGACTTAAAGGTACTTGGACACAGATTTCTCATTTTTTCTGTATAATATTATACAATTATTGCTGTTTTTTGAGGTCAATACAATGATTTAGCCATCTGAGGAGTACAATATTCAACGAGCCCGAAGGGCGAGGTGAATATTGTACTTCGAAGGTGGCTAAATCATTGTATTCACCGAAAAAACAGCAATAACTGTTTTATTATATGATTCGCTGATAAAATGATGCAGCTCATTATTTGTTTGCATTTTATTAAGTCCCAGCCAAATACAAGAGGGAAGCAGAATTGAAATGTGAATAAACCTTACCAGTTGTACCAATTTGAAATGCTTTTTTTTTTTATCAATTTTAGTTGCCATGAAAGAAATATATAATGTCACTCTTTTTTTATAGGATAGATTTTGAAAGGAAGGGGTATTATCAGGGAAAACTCATTGCCAAAAAGTAAAAAAAAAAATTGTTCAGTAAAAGTATTGGAGGGGGTCCCTGCATCCCCTTTTACCACCATAACCCTAAATATATATTCGCTTTAATATGATTTATTCACATAAAAAAATCATGTTTGAATAGCTTTCCAAAACAATTTGTATCAAAAAAATCATAGTCGTTTGAATATCTTTCCAAAACAATTTGTATCAATTTGGAATATCTCAATCTATTTTTAGACCAATGTAGAGGAAATAAATCCTTGTATTGACCTGGAACGTCACGTGCAGGTCAATACAACGTAGTATTTTTCTAACATAGTTGGATCTCAGCCAATCAGAGAGATGGAAATTGTTCAATCATATAATAACACGAATTATATATTTTAATAGCACATTTCACACAAAAATTAATTTAAAATCTTATTTCATTTAAAAGTTATTAAAACTTTAAATTTTTTGACAAGGTGAGATAACACACCCTTGATCAATCTCATAAAAATCTATAATCAATAAAGATAAGTGAACAAGTGTATTAATGAGAAATATTAAAACTTAAATCAAGGTAATTTTATTCAGAAGGTTGAAATGTGTAGAAAGCAGAACTACTTCACAAGTATCGTCATTCCGTTGTGTACAAAAATTTGAAATTCGAACTTCGTGTTATGTACACAGGTTTTTGTAAACATGTTATTGTTCGTGTTTAGCCTTCATAGGTGTGTTAATACGATATTTCATCACCAAAATACTTTTAAACTACAATATATTGTGTGTTTTTTTGCTTTTTAAACACAAGCACATTGAATTTTCTGGATTATAGTATTAATATTTTTCATTGTTTATATGTCTTTAAACCTGCCACTTTTCCTAATGAACTAAGAATAAAGTTAAAATTTGTGAAAGTGCAAGGATGTGTCAGACGAATAACAAAAAAAAATATTTTACCATTTGGACACTGCAAGCTATATATTAAGCTATATATTAACAGCAAATGAATTTACACTTCAAATAATGATTTTGGAAATGAAACATATAAAGAGATTATTTCAAATAAATTTTAAAATGCATTTTAATTTTTCGTGAAGGTTAAGATTCCGTTGTTATGTACTGTTGAATTTTTAACATTTACGTTGAAATCCCCATGGCTTTACATACATGCATTAGAAAATGCTTAAAATGATGCGTTAAGAGATGTAGACTGTGGGTTTGTTTGATATTTCACTGCGATTCATGCAATTCTGCGTATTGCTGACAAAAGTTACCACTCTCTCTCTCTCTCTCTTCTCTGGTAAGCCAATGGGACATATTTGTTTTTGATAATACTTATAATAAAATATGGATTTTTATTTTACAGAGAAAATACTGAAATGGTAACCTTTTTAATGACGTCAAACAAAATGGCGAGTACTATATTTGGTCTTATTTTTTTGGTCAAAGAACCCGAGAGATCTCAAGGTTTATTGTCTTATATTGTGTTTCAAATAAATTTTATGCATTATTGAGTTCATTTTTACTCTATAAATCATTTTTTAGTATCTATAAAATTGATAACAAGATAACAAGATTATTCTATGAAAGTTTTCCCTAGGGAAAAAAAGTTGAAAAAGTAACAAATCATTGTAATGTTTTACCACACCTATATACATAAACTCTGTGTATATAGGTGTAAAACGTCTTTTTTAAATGTGGTTTTTTTTTTACTGAAAGTTTCAGAATCTTTATTTTAATAACTTTTAAGAATATTTAATGTAGAATCAAAATTTTATTACTTTAATTATTTTACATTTGACAATCCGGAAGACATTTAAAATATATTTTATTTTCTAGAAAATCTTTTTATCTAAAAAGTATTTCTGAAAGCATTCTCTTGCTGCAAAATGATATGCACGAAGCAAGAATAATAATCTTGGTTTGACATTTCTTCTAAGAAATCTGTCAATGTTAACAATGGTATACACCAATGTCACAAATGGTACACCAATGGTGCCATTGTTAACATTGTTTATTGTTTAACAACTCTACCCAAAACTTTTCTCTCAGATGTAGACGTGCGAGTCCGAAGAGTACCAACGGTAGAAATTTTTAAATACAAAGAGGTAGAAGTGTTCCACTCGCCATGCTCTGGGCACTTCAATGTAAAATATGTTTAAAGAGAACAAGTGAAAAAAATTAATCTAGTCAAAGTGGTTACAATAAGTAGATTTTAATGATTGCTCACTATATTAAAAATAAAGCAAAACACTTCTGATTTAATTCTTGGTCTTAATAAATGTCAAATTCTCAATCTGTACTATTTATAAGTCAGTGGTAGTGTATTACTACTAAAGAACTTGATTTCACATATTCTAAATGACAAACTCTCAATCTGTATTTATTTGTGAACAAACAAGTCCAGACCTACAGACTCCAATAATGATGTGGGGAATATGACACAGCAACAAATTCCCGTAAACAAAATTGAATACAGTAGTTTATGAATTGTTTACGGAAATGGGAATTTTAGGCTGTGTGCACATATTTTTTCTACGTTTGTTAATTTGTAATTTGATATTTATATCTTCTTTAAATTTTCATTTCCCCCACACATTTGTAATGTCGAGATAAGGCGTAAAGAGTTACGAGGTGATGCTTTATAACATGTGCGCTTTATGGAATGATTCATGGGTTCAGGCCCTTACCATGCACATCTATAAATTCCGTATTTTAGTTTCAGTTTTCTACTTGAAAAACGAAATTAATATATAAAGAAAAACGAAATTATTAAAAGTAAAAAACGAAATTATTAAATAAGGAAAACGAACTGATTTGTTTAATAATTTCGTTTTTCTTTATTTAATAATTTCGTTTCTCTTTATTTAATAATTTCGTTTTTCTTTATATATTAATTTCGTTTCTCTTTATATATTAATTTCGTTTTTCTTTATTTAATATTTTGTTTTTCTTTTTTTTAATAATTTCGTTTTTTCTTTATTTATTTTTGGTTTGCACTATTGGGCTTCCGTAGTAATCTGTTCACATTTCCAACTTTTGAAGAACCACTGGGCCAATTTCAAACAAACTTGCCACAAAGTATCCTCTGTTAAAGAGGATTCAAGTTTGTTCATTGAAGGGACACTTCTTCAAAGGGGAGATAATGACATAAAAGTTTTAAAAAAAAAAGGCATATTCCAAATCCACTGGACAAGAAGGTAAAACTTTTATGAAAGTATCCTCGGTTAGTGTGGATTTAAGTTTGTATCATGAGCCCAGGGGATAGGGTGGGACCACAATGGTGTTTTACTTTGGAAAAATATTTTAAAATCTCATGTACATCAAAGCCATGATTGGTCAAATATGGTATCCAAAGGAAGGTCTTATCACAAGGAGATCACAAGGAGTATGCATGTGAAATATGACAGCCATTTAGCCACACTCAATCAAAGGTTATAGGTAAGATTAAAGTTTTCCAGCAAACAAACAAACGGACAGGGCAAAAACCATATACCCCTGAAAATTCTCTAACGTGGGAATAAAAAATATTCAGGTGAGCTTTACAGCCTCAATGTTTACGACAACGGTGAAATTTTACGATATAAAAACATAAAGTTTCTTTATATTATTCGACGCTAAACTTATTTGAGTAATTTCTTTCTATGAAAATATATAGACTCCAGAGACATACATAAAACTAACAACAATATTAAAAGACAGTAATATGCATTAGACGGGCACCAATTAATTTTACGACAACCAAAAAGAAGTTGATGTCAACAATATCGTGGCATTTCGTGATTTGTTCCTTAATTTAGCACCCGAAACACAAAAAGCAGTAGCCTATAACACGTATTTATACCTTTTGATTAAGTTATAGACATGAAGGGAGAATAGCAGGATTTGAAATGATGAAGATTCTGTCAACGATTGTGTAATTTGACGGAGAAACACCAAGGCCTAGTGCAGGTAGTCAATAATTTTTGCATTATTGATGATTCAAGTAAAGCAGCTGACACACTGCTGTGCATCTCACTTGCAGAATCCATCAAAAGACATACGGAAACTTGCGTAAGGAGACAAGTCCAAAAATATTTAGATTATACAGGGGCTTGCTCCCAAACTGTTAAGAATTCATATCATATAATTATTAATGGTATAACCATAACCAACTGCCTGCAGTTGGTATGCAATTTTTGAATTTATGCATACATTTCTTTACACTCTTGGAGCAAGCCGTTGTGAAAAGGCAGGGAGAATTTGTGGTTTGGCTTTACCATTTCTCTCCTGAAACGTCTATGAAATGACTATATTTGTGGCGCTTACAATAGGGTTGATAATGATCAAGATGATATTACTGCCTAAGGCAGTCTAATCTGAGATTCCTGTGACTCTGTCCCCCTGGTATTTATATTGTGACGTGCAGGGGAGAGTCGGTGTGGCATGCGGAGACCATATTGAAAAGTTGGAATTCAGCGACACCAACACTGATGTCACGACTCTGCCTACCTTTTATGACTTTATTTCACGGATCTAACTTATGAGACACGAGAAATCAGTAAAGGGATGATTCTTCTGTATTTTAATCATCATTAAAAGAATATCGCCATTTAAACAGCCCTATCGCCGACATATGAAGCGTATATCGTACAAGAAGGTGACCTTATTTAGGTGATGCTTCATCTGTTGGCGACAGGGCCGTTTAAATGGTGATTGTATCATTTTAATGATGAGAATATAATTTCTGTGTATTATTCTCACGTAAGAAATACCGGTATACATAGAGAGAAACTCATGGTAGCGTGACGTTACAATGAGGTTACAACAACGTTAGCAAAAATGCAACAATATAGGGCAGCAAGAAATTCAAATACTGAGTATGTTTTTGGTGCTTTCAAACATGTAAAATGTAAATATAAGGAATGTTTTTAAGTTTAATGTGAATTATTGGCAGTCTTCGAAATAACCTGGGTGCCCCATGCCCGTGACCTGGTTAATTTGCCATTGGGCATGTGAAAATTCTCAAATTACATGCCCGAAGGGCATGTGTGAATTTTCTTTTGATTCATGATGTTTACTTGCTATTTCTTCTGTTGTACCCCAGTTATTTGTGTAAACTTGCTATGTAATGTCTTAATCTGAATTGCAAGTCTACATTCGTCTTACGTTACATTATCGGTACAACCTGTCCCGGTTTTTTTTCTTGGTGTTTCTTGCTAAATTACATAGCACAAAATGTTTATAGATACCACGTGCAGTGGACTGCTTTCATGATGATCATGATCCTATTTCTGAAATTCAGTTCAGCTATACTGGCCAACAAATGACCAGCATGCGAGTCAAAAGTTGTGAACAAAAATGCATATGAAAATGGCAGACAGGCAGGCCAATGTTGATTTTTTAAAACTCTGGAAACAATTTAAACTAAAGATCGAGAGAATTTAAAAAACAGAAACACTGTCCTTATAGTTTTTATAAAAACCTTATTTTTTGTTGCACAGTCATATCTCTGCTATATGAATGAATTTTGAGTAGGGCATGTACAAATTTCAATGGGCTGGGTTAAAATGACCCATATACATGCCCGAAGGGCATGTGCTGAAAAAGAATTGTTGTGAAGACTGTATTGGTGTGTAAATCAAACAGACTTGCACGTAGGCATATTTTTCATGAATTGCTAGCACGCTTCATGAAATGTGATAAGTCTGTATGATTTATACACCATTGTTATACCCTTATAAATATCCTTCTATATATTTCTTACTAATAAAAAGTCCAACAAAAGAAATGTTTATTACGTCGGTCTAACAATTTCACTATTGACCGGTCTTACATAAGAATTGTTAGACCGCAACGTCACCTGTCTGTTGCGTCACAATTAATAATCATTGTTCAATATCGGCGACGCGAAAATAGCCGAAGTTAAGAGGTATTAAGAGTTGTTGCTAACAGCAAGGTAAGGTAGAAGGGAAGAGTATGTTTTGTGATAAATAATTTTTGTGATATAATAGACTTGTAATTGATTTTGTTCTTTCTCAGCTTGATGTTTATATTTACTGAAGAAACCATAATTTTCCATATAAAATAATTGATAGTATAGCGTGTATTGATAAAATTGATCAATCTTAAGTGAGCAGTGAAGGGTATAACAAAACAGTTATAGACTAGGATTCGGGCAACATATGATTTGTTGGACCTGAAGATGAAAATGTTACCCTTGGCCTGCGGCCTCGGGCAACATTTTCACCTTCAGGTCCAACAAATCATATGTTGCCCTCATACCCAGTCAATAACTGTATAATTATTCACACAAAATTTAAAAACATTTCTGAATTGTACTTTAAACTGTTGAAGTTGCTTTTGTGACCAATTGGGCTAAAATGAATGCACAGCTAAAATTAATGTAATATGTTTACAGACTTACAGTAAGTTTATGGATATTGTTGAGAACTAGGATAATCAGTATAAATTGACTTCCTTTTCAGTTATATTTAACATTCTATGCTTTGTTTTAGATGAATGGATTGGAAATAAAGCATAATGCCCATAGACAGAAGAGCTGGCCTACAATTAGGGCTGCTGTTAATGGCAGTCCCATTACAATACATTGTGTCTAAGTACATGTCAACTAATGAATCTCAGAGAAGCTATGCAATCAGAAAGTGAGTAATTAGTGTTCTCTTTTAAACATTGCTATGCATGCTAATGTCACACAATAATGTTTTAAAAAATTGTACACATACCACTGAGGTCTTTTTGCAGTCATTTGCAAAACATGCATGGAGTTTGAAAAAAAAAAAATGACATAACAAGCTTAAAATTAAAAAATACAAAATTAACATTGCTACAGCAAAACTCGGTTATAAGGAAGTCACAGGGACCTATGAAATTACTTTGCTATATACGTAATTCGTTTTTACCGTAAAAGAAATTCATTCACTTTATAAAGCTGGGGATCCAAGATGACTTCGCTATATCCGAAAATTCGCAATATCCGTGTTCGTACTAAACGAGTTTTGCTGTATTTCCAAGCTTAAAATATGAACATGATGAAGAATTTAAAATTGTTACAAGTATTTGAGAAAAAAAAGCTCCATGCAGGTAGAATGAATTGATTCTCTATAAAGTTTCAAACTACATGTGGTACACATTCTTGTTTAGTTTGTTCTACTGTGCTGCTGGGTTTTTGGAAAGGTGTTTTTCTCAGTATCTAATTTGTACACAGTCACTCTCTTTTAGTTTACACCACAGTGCCACAGGATTCAAGGAGAAATATTTATTTAAGACTCTAACTTGTATAATTCTCATTTAGTTTATTTTAATTATTTCACACTGACAGTGTCACAGGGTTTAAGAAGTAATGTTTATCTAAGTTTCTGACTTGTACACATTCTTGTTTTAGTTTGTTCCACAGTGCCGCGGGGTTTAAAGAGAAGTATTTATCGTGGAGGTCGTGGCAGCAGTGGTGTATGAGCTTCATATTTCGTGAGGAGCCTCAGAGTTTTGCTAGTCAGGACGATCTGAACGGGGAATCCCCTGCTGTAGAGGTGCAAAAATTCAAGGATCCAGAGGGGTATTTTGGAGGTAATTATGGGTATGGCATTATTTACACACATTGGACCAACACACTTCACATAGAAAATTATATAAATATGCATGAAATAATCTCAAATTGTTTTATTGAATTCTTCGCGAATTTAAAATATGGTAAAATCTTTCTAATTTTAGTCAAAAGGTGCTAAGAAGATGCATATATATTTCTGCAATGTGTCAAATTATAGAAATATAATTATGTTAATTTCAGCCTCCACAGAACCTCGAACTCTAAGGTCACCAGAGGTCAAATACAGAGTGGGTCAAGTGATACGACATAAAATCTGGGGCTACCGAGGGGTGATAGTGGCTTGGGATCCACAGGCCAGGGTAATGATTGATTGATTGTATGTTGTTTAACATTCCTCTTGAGAATTTTACACTCATATGTAGATGCCTTCTCTTGACAGTTGAGAGCTGCAAATTTTGTCCTATACTTGGCACTCAGGGCCATTGAGCAGAGAGGGATCTTTGAAAATGAATTGAAATTTTAGCAATTCTTAGAGTGATCTTTGATGATACTAATGATGTTACTTAAGAATTATGCTTTTTTTCCCCTTCAGGCCCCAGAAAGCTGGATAGAACAGAACCATAGAAAAGATAAACCTGTAAGTTAACCTTCAACAAGTGTCTTAAAAGGGATAATCTTCACTTATTTCATACTTCATGTTTCATCTTCACTTATTTTATTGAATATATGACTGTATTCAATTTGAAAAAGACGCAGCTCTGATAAAGTATATAAAATGCTTATTTCAGCATTGGAGGACTCAGCCTAACTATGCCATACTTGTGGACACCAGGGACAGAATGACCCCTCAACTGACCTACGTTCCACAGGAAAACATTGACATAATATCCAATGTCAAGGTAATGTCAGAGAAACATTGATATCAAATGTCAGAGAAACATTGATATAATATCCAATGTCAAAGTAATGTCAGAAAACATTGATATAATATCCAATGTCAAGGTAATGTCAGAAAACATTGATATAATATCCAATGTCAAGGTAATGTCAGAGAAACATTGATATAATATCCAATGTCAAGGTAATGTCAGAAAACATTGATATAATATCCAAAGTCAAGGTAATGTCAGGAAACACTAATATAATATCCAATGTCAAGGTAATGTCAGAAAACATTGATATAAAATCCAAGGTTAAAGTAATGTCAGAAAACATTGATATAATATCCAAACTTAAAGTAATGTCATAAAACATTGATATAATACACCATATATACTCGCCTATAAGTCAGTCCGCCTATAAGTCGGTTGTATTTTTTTAGGTTATTTGGCAAGGATTTGCCATTGACCCGCTTATAAGTCGGTATAACTTTTTGCCAGAATCAGATGACTACCTCTATTATTAAATGCATTGATGTTTTACCCTGATTTCAAAGAATATTTTTGGAAATAAAGTCAATAATTTAACTTTTAATATTAAAAAATAAATAAAGCCCTCTTAAGATTAAAAAAATATAAAATAATTAAATACATGTATATAAATTACATATTACATAAATTATATAATACATCGGATCCTTACTTTGTTCAACAATAGCTGTTGAAAATGTTTAAAGAATACTACGATTTGCCATCCAGAAAAATACCTGTCTTTTATAACTCGCCTATAAGTCGGATATAGACTTCTGGACTAAAATATAACTCCCAAAATACCGACTTATAGGTGAGTATATACGGTACAATAATGTCAAGGTAATGTCAAAAAACATTGATACAATATCCAGTGTCAAAGTAATGTCGGAAAACATTGATATTATATCCAGTGTAAAAGTAATGTCAGAAAACATTGATATTATATCCAAGGTCAAGGTAATGTCAGAAAAATATTAATAGGAAATGTCAGAGAAATATTGATATAAAATCCAATGTCAATGTTACATCAGGAAAACATATACATGCTTCCTCTCTGCCGAAATATTGCCATTAAAACTATATTAAGTCAATCAATCTTCCCTGTTTAAATCTGCAACTGAAATTTTCTCTTTTTTTCAGATTATGCATCCTGGGATAGAGAATTATTTTGAGGGATTTGACGGTGCTCAGTATATACCACGTCCTTGGCTTAAAACTGTGTTCCCCCATGATTGACCTTGACATTTCGTTACATGTCCTTGACATTTCGTGATATTTCTGATATTGTATATATAGGAGGTACATGGTAGACTTTTCAAAAATAATTTTCATTTTGATTATTTTATAGTTGTTGAATGTTGATATATTTTTGATTTATCTGACCATACATCTATTTTTCTTGACTGGTGTCTTTAATAGCATCTTCATTAAAAAAAATAGTGTTTTAAAAAAAGTATTGCAAATGATGTACACATTTTCTTTTTGTTATACATGTATTATAATTTTGGAAACTTCAGATTTACATATGGCACATATAGATTTTGAATTTACATGTTTTTGAGTTCCTTAAATGAAAAATCGGGGAGTTTTGAAACACTTGTGGGCACAGAGTGTTCAGAAATCTTCGAGCATTTTTTTTTTCAAAATATTTTTTCGTATTTAAAATCATTTCAAAAATCAAAGATGAATTGAAATTGATTGCCAATAAACAGACTTCCCAAGATTAAAAAAAATTGATTGATTGAATTATGGCTAAATTATTGTGCAATGCCTTTTATTACCTTTTGTCTTTCAATTTAATTTATTTTATAGTAATTTGTAAAATTTCAGTGTGTGTAATTTTATGTAAGAAATGATAACAACCTGAGACTGGCATTTATGTTTGAACCCAGTATCTACCAAATCCAGCTAACCCAAGTTGAAAATTTTTTAAAGGGTAGTCCTTTGAATCAAAATATTTTACTGGGAAACTCAATAAGTCTGATTGGTTTTCTTGACATCACATGCAAAGTAATATTTTACAATAATGACTTGGATTTCTAAAAATAACTTGGGAAAAATCTGGATGCATTTGTAGTAGTGAAAAATCTTTAAAACACACAAAATCTAATGATGAATTTGTCTCTTTTTGTTTAGTCAATTTGCTTTTCTCTGAAGTTGATACATGTATATTTATGGATTGGATCGACTTCAGAAAAAGGCTATATTTGTATATTGAGGCAGTTTTTTCTGTGCCATTCATGTTTATCTCATCAAACTCACTACCATCAGGGAATATGGTTGTTAAGGCTTCACAACTATTTGCTTGTACAACTCAACATGAACTCTTGTTAAACTTTGAAATAAACAAATTAAAAATAATTTTGGAGTTTTTTTTTAAAAAAACTTTTAGTAAGTCTAGGCCCGTATAGGTTGTGATTTCAGTTTGAAAAGGGTGAGGGGGGCACAGTCATACATTTTTAGTTGGGGTTACTACCTCCTACTCGTATAAAAATGAGATTATTGAGGGGGCACACCCATATAGCAGCTATGTTTTCTAATATGTTATGTATCGCCAAAATTAAGGGGGATATGCCCCCTCCCGGTTCCTACAGCAATGAAGTCATTAAATTGGTATATTATTTAAGGAATAACTGTCTTATTTTTCGATTTCATGAAGTGATCAATCAATTGGCTTGCGTGATAATTTGCATAAACGCCTTATGCATAAAATTATCACGCAAGCCAATCGATTGATCATCTTCATGAAATTGAAAAATCTGACAGTTATTTCTTATATTTACATGCTTTGATTCCGCCAATCCACGTGCTCCAATCCCTGCCTCTGTCTAGCTGTTTGTCCCGCCCTGCACGTGGTTTTTTTTGAACCGCGCCAATACATTGATGGAGAAATAAAGTACATTTACATTTGGTAATTTTATCTCGGACAAAGACATTGGAAATGTAAATATTCTGCTATAAATGTCATTGCTGTAAATCATTTTTAATTCATAAGAATGTAGTACATTTATTACAGTTAAGGGGGATGGAGTATTTTCCCCCTGTCCATATCTTTTGATGTGATTTGGGAAATGCATGGAATCCACCCACCCACAGCCCCTCTAATCTTTTGATCTGGACTGGACTTAATGAATAAGTATAATAAATAAAAAGATTGATGCAATAGACCTTGATTACTTCTTCAATGTCCACGGAAATGAAACTATTTCTTCTTTTTCAGAGTTTATTGTGGTATTTATTCATCATCAAAGAAGATCCTAGTACTGTAAATCACTAAATTTTCACAACGCTTAATTTTGGCGATAAATATATGTTATTATAACAGTAACTTGATCCGAAGGGTCGTATCACGTCGAGATGACAGGCGCGGATCATCATGCAGATCTAACGAGACGCGAAGCGTCGAGTTTGATCTGATGATCCGCGCCTGTCAACGAGAAATGGATTCAGAAAACCAGTCTGGTGATCCGGAAAGTCGTCACGTGATTGCGTTAATTCTACAGTAAAATTGAGTGATACACGTTAGGTCACAGGTACTTGTTTCTGTAATAAATTTTCGACCCATAGTATTATACTATGGGTCAAAAATTTATTACAGAAACAAGTGCCTGTGCGTTAGGTATATAATAAAGTCATTTACTTTTACAAAGCTTAACAAAATTTTAACGAATTGGGGTTATTGCTCTATATCATCTTTAGGAAAATTTAAATAAATATAAGCGATAATTAAATTTTCGCGAGAACAGTGCCCGTGTGATTAGCGAAAATAAAGTTCTCGCGAATAATAAGTCATTTACAGTATCAATAGTAGATAATACACAAAAATAAGAGTCATTTCAGTATAAGGTCCTCCATTTATTAAAAATTAATCAGTTCGGAACATTGTGCTTACATTTCCATTACGAGAAACTCCTCATTGCTAACATCACCGGGAAGTGACAACAAGCTGGCTGTAATTGAGATGCACTTCTTTTCCTTTTTTTCTTGAGGGGGAGTGGGGGGGGGTTATACTTAAACTATTCAGACTGATTCGCATTAATATTTCATATATTTCACAAATAAGTGAAATACACACGAACTCTCCATGGAACCATGAACAGGTATTTATTTTCAGTCTCCTTTAAGTTTTCCGACGACGAGAATAACACCTGTACACATAGACGTCAGTACTGCAGTTATAGCCAGGTAAAAGCAAAAGCTGAGGTCCTCCGTCTTGTAATCCGGGTTCCTGAATTTGACAGCGAAGATCGAAACACATACAAAACTCATCACAGCTGGAAAAAAGACAAAATATTGTTCAATTTAATTTTCGATGAAAACATGGAAAAGTAAAGAAAAATTCTTCATTTGAGAATTATGGAGAAAGTCAGAAACTACACTGATGTAAGTATTTATAACACATAGAAAATATTTGTGTCCACTGCATAGGAAGGTGTTGAATATAAAATTTTATTGCAAAAGCTCAAAGGCTGAACTCGAGATAAAAACGAAAGTGTTAGAACAGGCACAATTTATGAATATATACGTACAACTCCGGTCAATATATTCTACGAATTTGATCGTAGATACTTCCAGGCCGATAATTCTACGACTCTTCTCACGGTGAAATACCGCCCCCCCCCCCCCATTTAGAAATCTGCCCTCCTACTTTTTCACAATTATATTATTTTATTTATTTATGTCTTCTAATGCTGATATTAGGCAAGCTCACCGCAGATATTTTTTTGCTAATTTTGTACAACTTCAAATCAAAACAAAACGCGTTTATAAAGATTATATAATAATAAATGCCATTTATTAAAGTGGCCGTATTTAAGGGGGGGGGGGGTCCAGATTCACGATATGTCCATGATTATCAGTTATGTAAACTATTATAATCACCCCCCCCCCTTTCTCAAATGGCTACAGAAAAGAATCTGTATTAAACATATAAAACAAGACAATCAAACATATCATATAAGAAAAAGTTAGCAAAAAATAACATGTAAAAGCAAAATAGGACACAAAATGTGATCGACTTGCAGACCATATCCTACTGGAAAGCTGGCGATCGAGATCTTCTACCTGTCTTCTCCTTGTTCTCAGTGAGCTAGGGTAGATTAAACAACTTGAATTCATTTTTTTTTTCAAAGTGCGTTAAGTGTCTCCATAGTTAAATGTTGATGTACATTTTTGATGCACGTTAAAAAAAAAACTCAAAGTGCCTTTCAAAGGGCTTGATTTTGTCACAATTTTAACGCACTTTGGAAAATAATTTCAGAGTGAGTATTTTAATCAAAGTATTTTGTATAAATTCATCATGTTAATAGTGTTTTTTTTTTTGGGGGGGGGGGGGGTATTAATAAATTTCAAATTTCTGTAAACATTCTTGCTACCCCTTTCCCCATCACACACACAACCTCAGTCCTTTTTGTAATAGAGTGATAATTTTTTCAATATATTTCTTATTAATAAATGATAATAACGGAATATGTATTTCTTGTCATTTTTATGACTAAATATTTCATGTGATCATCATCATAATTTTGTACGTGTATATTTTGGATGAAAGATCTAGGAATCTTGAAATGGGGGGGGGGGGGGGGGAGCATGTTTTGGACCGGTGAAGGGACCCACAGCCATGCACAAAAAAATATTGTATTCTTTGGACACTAGGGGGTGGGGGGGGGGGGGGGGGGGAGTGAGCCCCCCTCTAAACCCGCCAGTGATTTGAGTTGAAAGACAATCGGATACACATTCCTGTATTGCCCTGTTCTCTTGTGCTGTTGAATAATCATTAGTTGACTCTTTCAATTGGTGTATAATGCCTGTGGCTATTTTACCTATTTGGTCATTTTCAGGCATGTGATACATGTCATGTGGTTTAAAGAACCAATAGGCTTAATTTAGATTTGCTCCCGCTGTTGGTGAACTGTCTTTGTTCTTCAGATCATGCAGAAAGACAGATTTCTTTGAGGAAAGTTCTAACTAGTGTATCTATTATGAAGTCTGCCAAATTAGAATTGTATCATGACAGACCTGAAACGTGACAGATTATGGTGAGTATGTATGTATATTCATGTAGCTTTACAGAGTTTGCCTTGCTCCATAAACACAGTGACAGAGCAAATCTTGAAAGGGGGGGGGGGGGGCAGTTTGAGGTCGGGGTAGGAGCCCACAGCCCATATTTATAAAATCTTATGCATATTTTGGACACATAGAAGGGGGGGGGGTGTCCCCTGTAAATCCGTCATGAAACAGGTGATTATTAGATAATCATTTGAAGTGTAATGTTTTTATCATAATTTGATGTAATGTAGAACAGTTGCATTGAAATGTATATGGGCCATTTTCAAAAAAAGTCCACTTTTTTGTCTTTTGATCAGAATAATAGGAAAACATTTTTTAGAGTGAAAATTTTTTCCCGTTTGTTAATATACATGGTCATATAGCTTATAAGTAATTTTATGATCATCTCCCAGGTGTTTTATAAAAAATATTCTCTGCATTCCGAGTAAAATTTAACAGTAAAACCATGTCACATTAACAAAAATTTTATAACGCGCTTATTTAAATGATAGGGAAAATATTACCCTGTGAAGATATGTACAAATTTTGCACCTCATTTTAATTGAATTCATTTACAGATTAATTTAATATGATTGTTTTACTTATGCCGCCCACTAAATACTAGTATCGTGCATTTAACATTCAGGAAGTGACATGTCCCACCAGTTTATGTCATTCCTGTTATCAGAAAGAAAATGTTAAAATAAAAGATATCTCACTTTCCTAGGAACTGTTTTCATGATCCACAATATATCATCATTTTCTGTTGTCTCAAGTTTATGAGCGCCATGATTTGAAAGTGAGTAAAGAAAGGGTTCAAAGGTCGATAAGTTTGTCTTATTGGTAGAGTATAATGAAAATATGTCCTATCTGTTACCTTCATAATATGCAAATACTCTTTAAATTGTTTATTCTGCTAAAACAATCAGATTTACTAAGTTACAAAGAAACTGTTTCAATGTCTTGATGATGCAAAAAGAGTACGTTATACTAAATAACCGGTGATTTATATGAGAAATGTCCATCCTGTTACTGTCATTCCTGTTACCATTAATATGGTAACAGTAAGGAAAACTGGACTTCATATCTTGAGTTTTAACAATAAAAACAATTACTTTTATTTTTCTAAGTAATATAAGTTTAATAACACATGTTAAAAAACTTCGTAAATCATATTGAAATAAGTTAGTGCTTCAAATTGTGCCATTATAACTTAAACATGCACTCTTGTAACAGAATGGACAAAAATTGTAACAGGAGGGACAAATTATCCTGGTATTTATATACCTATTTAAGTTTCATCATTTGTTTTT